CTATACAATATTCTTGGTGCCTACCAAGTATTTGACTACTTCATTCTGGCCTAAATATATGGAATGAATTTAGGTATGACTGTTGCTAACCTGATTTCTTTTTGCAGACAAAACTTACCTGGGGCCCATACTTATGGTTTTACATGCTTCGGGCTGCTACATCAACTCTCTCAGGTATTGCTTTTCTGCTTGAATACTGTATAATTTCTGTAACATGCTTCAGCAACAGGAGCTTTGCTAAATAGGATGTTTCCAAACTGAAGGAGAAACAGTAGGGAGTTAATCACTGTCCTCAGGAGCTAGCTAGCATTGGAACATAGTAACCTAACTTGTACTTCACATTAAAACATTCTTCAGCTTCCAGTATGGGTTTTTTTTTGTTTTTTTTTTTAGGAATGAAAAATGACTATATTAGTTTAGATATTGTTTTCAAGTTCTTAAACCCTTTCTCTTAACAGCTATTTTGCTGCTTTGTCATTTGGTTTCCAATTGATAACATTCTCAATCTGTCTCACTGCTTATTCTAAACCCTCTATTACAGTTAATTTATATTTCTATATCATTAATATTTCATTTCTTTAATTGAGATGTGACTAAGTCGTATTTGAAGGAAATGAATTATCAACTTTTAATGTGAATTTAAAATATAGGTTTTAAATTAGAAAGCTTTCATCTGTTTCCATTTTTAACTCCCTCATAGCTTTTTATCACTTTCTGCTTTTTAATTAGAGCTAGTTGTGAATAGTAATTGATTCAACAGACATTTACTGAGCACTCAATATATGCTAGACAGGTTGGTGTAATGGAAAGAGCACGAGCTTTAGATTCAGACCTAGCTTTGAACTTTGGATCTACTTTATCAATTTGGGTAAGTTCTTTAACCTCTCTACATCTAACCTTTCACAGTGCCTGGCACATGGTAGGCACTCAGTGAGTGTTATACTACAAGCCATTCCCTTCCTCCAGCCCAATGATATCCCAGCTTTCTGAGTATACATTTTTCTTTTTTGAGACAGAGTCTTGCTCTTTCATCAAGGCTGGAGTGCAGTGGTATGATCTTGGCTCACTGTAACCTCCACCTCCTGGTTTCAAGCTATTATCCTGTCTCAGCCTTGTGAGTAGCTGAGATTACAGGCACCCGCCACCATGCCCAGTGAATTTCATATTTTTAGTAGAGATGAGGTTTCAACATGTTGTTCAAGCTGGTCTTGAACTCCTGACCTCATGTGATCTGCCTGCCTCAGTGTGAGGCATGAGCCACCATGCCTGGCAGTATACACTTTTCTTAAAGACATAGACATATAACAGATATACCTAGTGATAAGTGTTCTAATACACATATGAAAAGACTTGTTGGGAGTTCTGAAGCCACTAATACTTCTTGAAGAAATCAGGGAAGATATACAGAAGAGAGATATATTAGGTTTTTATAATCTCCTTGAGAGCAGGAACAGTAACTCTTGTATTCCTACAGTGTCTTACACATAGAAAGTGCTCAAGAAATGTTTATAGAATTATATAAGTCTTTTAACTTTTATGTCTTCAGTGTGTGACTTCCTTGGAGAGAAGATTGCATCTGTTTTGGGTATCAGCACCCCAAAGTACCAATATGCCATTGATGAATATTATCGGATGAAGAAGGAGGTATGTATGCCTCCTTTTTACGTTTTCTTGATTCAGTTCGGTTTGCCATGGACTTGATGGGTTGCATAATGAGCGGATGTATTTTCTTACTGCCCAACATGTAGGTCTCTTATGCTAGGCATTTCATTCTGGAATCATTAATTTCTTTTATCAAAGTAACATACATGTAGGGACATGGATGCAGCTGGAAACCATCATTCTCAGCAAACTATCGCAAGAACAGAAAACCAAATACCACATGTTCTCACTCATAGGTGGGAATTGAACAATGAGATCACTTGGACACAGGAAGGGGAGCATCACACACCGGGTCCTATTGTGGGGAGGGGGTAACCCTAAATGATGAGTTAATGGGTGCAGCACACCAACATGGTACATGTACATACATGTAACAAACCTGCACGTTGTGCACATGTACCCTAGAACTTAAAGTATTAAAAAAAAAAAAAAAGTAACATACATTTTGGAATTCTTTAAAACTGGAATTTCCCTATGATCTGTGTGCAAAATAAGCTAGATTTCATTGTCTTAGTGCTATGTGAGATGCCTTATATACATTATTTAATCTTCACATGCCTCTTTTTGGATTATCATTCTAAGATGAAGAAACAAGATACTTAGAGCACATGGACTAGATGTAGGACAAGTGGAGTGGTTCGACACAGACCAAGTACAGGAAATGTGTATGTGCCAGGTGTTAGTGCACAAAAATTTGAGGGCAGTTTAAAAATAGTGAGGTCTTAAGGTGAGAGTGAAGTGAATTTTGTCTTAAAAAATAAAAGCCTTTAGTGCTTAGGAGCATGGGCTCAAGAACCAAAGGGTTTGAATTCAGAATCTGTTCTGCCACTTAAAACTCTGTAACCTTGGACAGAACACTTAACCCCTCAATAAGCCTCAATCTCCTCATCTTTGTAATGAGAATTGCAGCATGCATGCTTGGGGACTGCTCTACAGATTAAATACAATATATAAAATGTTTGGAACAGCACCTAGTGTGTATTGGTGAACACAACAAATATTGGCATCTGCTATTCTTCAAGCAAATAGAGGGCAGCAATTCAGGTAAAGCTAGAATGTAGAGGCATGAAGGTACATTGTTATGGTTGGGGAAATGGCAAAAATATAATAGTTTATTGTCACTGGGGCATAAGGTACAATGTGGGAGTAACCGGACATGAGCCTGGACAGGTCAGCTGACTTAACATTTGTTATATGGTTTCAAACCTGTTTTATGAACAGATAAGTATTTCTTAACACTATAAGCCTGACTTAGAGCCTCATTACCTCATCTGGACTATTAAACTAGCCTCCTAAATGGCGTCTCTCTATTCTCAAGCAAGCCCCAGAGTAATCTTCTGGGGCTACTCACTGTGTACTGACTACCCGTTCTGCAGGGTCCAATACAAATGCCACCTCCTCAATGAATTTAGTTCTGCAACGAGAAATTATTTACCCTTTGAAAATCTCTACATCTGTCATAATACTGTTTTTACATGTCTTAACTTCCCTACTAAGTTGTAAACTTCTTGAGGGAAGGTACTGCCTTATCTGTGTATTTGGTGCTTATGGGAAAACTATGCTATATATGATTTAGTAAATGAACCAGCCTATTCAACCGAATAGACTGATACCCTACAATTGAAGTGATACAGTTGGAGCTAACTTTTTATTTATTTATTTAGCTTAGACTTAATAAAAGAAATATAGTCATTGTCAAAGTTAATTCAGGTCTCATCTAAGTGACATAGTGCTGGACCGTGTTTTAAAAAATAACCTCTTTTGGGCTGAGCGCGGTAGCTCACGTCTGTAATCTCAACACTTTGGGAGGCTGAGGTGGGTGGATCACTTGAGGTCAGGAGTTCGAGACCAGCCTGGCCAACATGGAGAAACCCTGTCTCTACTAAAAATACAAAAATTAGCTGGACATGGTGGCAGGTGCTTGTAGTCCCAGCTACTCGGGAGGCTGAGTCAGGAGAATTGCTTGAGCCTGGGAGACGGAGGTTGCAGTGAGCCACTGCACTCCAGCCTGGGCAACAGAGCAATACTCTCTCAAAAAAACAAGAAAAAAACTACTTTCCTTAAAATGTTTTACAGTAGTTATTTCAATTAGAGAGCAGGAGAAGGGAAAATATGTCTTAATTAGACCAAACTGAATTGAACATGACACTTTTTTTTTTTTTTTTTTTTAAACATAAGCTGACAGTGGGGAAAACAGCACTATATACCTTTTGGACTTTCGTATTTCAACTATTCTTGATGTTGCCCCCTTTTTTAGGAAGAAGAAGAAGAAGAAGAAAACAGGATATCTGAAGAAGCAGAAAGACAGTATCAACAGAATAAATTGCAGACTGATTCCATTGTTCAGACAGATCAACCAGAGACAGTGATATCCAGCTCATTTGTGAATGTCAATTTTGAAATGGAGGGAGACAGTGAAGTAATTATGGAAAGCAAGCAAAATCCAGTCTCTGTCCCACCATAAAATGAAATGACTATCAAGCTTTAAACTCTTAAGTTTTTTTTTTAATATAGAAACTTTCACATTCTTTATTCAGTGGGACTTAATACAATTATTTATATTTTAAATTATTAAAATATCTGGAAAGGGAAAATGTTTCTTCATTTTTAGAATCTATCTAGCAAAAGCCAGATCTGAAATTCAGATATTTGTACTGTTTTTACTGTGCATAGAATTAGTGATTTGGTTTTAAAATGATCTTTTAAAAACATTAAGGACATCCTAGAGCCTTAATAGTTAAGAAGAGTTAAATTATCAAGCCTGTCTATTTGTACGTTTGCTTTTTTTAAAAAAGGTAAGTTGCTGCTTAAGTCTAATTGTAACTGATAATTCCATAGTCTTAGATTAAAATGAGGATATTTTCTTCTAGATTTTCTCATGTTATGCCATGCATTTATATATCTAACCATTAATTCACATTAAGGATGCTTCACCATATAATAAAAGGAGAAAGATGGAAGCACTTTGAATTTTCTTTCATTGAGAATAACTTTTATGTAAGATTCTGTATTTATAACACCAGATATTAAGATAGGCTTATATCCATTTTTTAATGCAAGCCACTTAATCTTGTATTCTTTTTCAGGACTCAAATAACTAGCTTTGAACATAAAATTAAAACACTACTTATGGAATATATTTATTAATATTAAACCTAGTGAATATCCATGTGGCATCCTGGTTATGTTATCCGTTCAGCATTCATCCTATAGAAAAGTGGTTTGGAGGAGATTGGGGGATAGTGGGACAGGTATAGATTTAATCCATTAGGAGCAATTAGATATTGTATAAGGTGCAATGATAGCCTAACGAAATTACCTGACATTCATCATTTAGAAGTAGCAACAGTGAAGACTGGACAGTTTACCTGAATTTGTTTGGCCATTCCTCTACCTACTTGGTTATTTGTAAACCTTATAAAGGTATATATTGTGA